TGTATCTCACATGAACGGTTAAGATGTATGAAACTGATCTTATGAGGAGCCANTAGAGGAAGAGAAGGATTCTCCATGAGTTTCAAGCCGCACTGTTCCAGAAAAGTCACCGCGAGAATTGCCTCACCCGATCTCTCAACAACTCAACGTTCTCGTATGATATAATAATATTGATGGTCGAATGGCTGCCGGCGTGCATTGGAAGCTACGTTCTACTTTAAAGAGAGCTAAAAAGTGGATCGGGAAAGAATGGTTTGACGAATGATAGGTAAATAATGGGAATCGAGGGAGTAAAAGGGGATACAACAACTTCTACACAGTGACATAGCAGGTACTGCACTATCGACAACTCGTCTGGTGGACTGACTGCTGCTGACGCTGCTGAATTCTCTGCTCGATTTCCATTGGAACTGCGCTCTACCATCGAGTGTCGGACCAGAGAGGGTTCCTTGTTACAGGATTAAAACGGTAGGGTTTCTGTGCCTCGTGTCTCGTTATGGAAAGAATGCAAAGAAAGAAAGAAAAAAAAAAAAAGAAAAAAAAAAAAGGACGCGTACCATCAAGCAAAGAAACATCGAACTGCGTGAAGATATCGTGATTGATACGAAATTTATTGCATCTCGATTTCACGAGGGATTCTATCAGTGAATGGCGTGGAAATGGCGAATCTCTCGAGAGTGCTTATATATAGAGTGAGATCCAAAGTTTCATTCGGTGTGGGAGACGATTAAGGTGGATTTCTTTCATTTCCAGGCCAGATCTGATCGATGAATAGATCGATGAATAATCGTGAAATATTTCCATAGTTGAGATCCAACGTTTCGCAATATCGTTCACTGTTCTTTTTTGCGGTACTTTGTCCCTTCGATTGGATACTGTTCATTCACAATTCCAAGGTTCAAGGTGTACATATAATATTAATAGCCAGAGAAATGGGTTTCAAAGACACAGATAAATGTTACCTAATTGGTCCACGCATACTGCAATAACTTGTATGGGATTGGCACTTTACAAAGGATCGTCGTGGTGTCAAGGACAATGAATTCTCGACGAGTTTACGGCACGAGATTTCCGGTAAAAAATACCGATCCGATAAAAGAAAACGAAAATAGAACATCCTTAATATTCTAGAACGATGCAACGTCACTTGAGTTAATTTTACTTTACTCGTTCAAATTAAGCCACATAATTCTTCCACTTAAGAGTAACGATACTCTAAAAATCAGAAGCAAACAATCTCACGATTTTTCTTCTTTACGCTTATCGCTAAATCTTCTGTATCTTCGATTGGAAATAAAATCAATCAAGACCCGATCGATTAATCGGAAGGGAAACTGCCGTAAACCTTTAATAATCATAATGGACGTGTAAGTCGGTGCGAAGGGTGAAAGAACACGAGTAATCGTTAATTTAAGGTACGTGTACGTGCTTAAAACCGAGAGATCGGTTGTCCGGTCGCCGGCTATATTGTTATCTACGACAGAGAGAAGAGAAATCACGTTGGAGGTGACGTGCGACGAATCATGATGTTCCAGCAGTTCGTGCTTTATTATATCTTCGTACAATGCACCGCCGCAATAATACCGCTGCTCGTTTTGCTCGCCGCCGTTGACGGGTACTGGTTTCGCGTGCAACACTATACGTAACAGAGAAATATCACTTCCCAGATATACAACGTGGTGGTACAATTCTTATCGTTACACACAGGTGTCCGCGACAGGTGCGATCGACCGGAGGACACTTACGTTACTTTGCGCTATGCCAGCCGGGGAGGGGGGGAAAGGCCCACCATTGATGCTCACTGGGAGAGATAGTCTTAAGCGTATTACAAGCGGGTGTGAATATATATATATATGCACAGGGCTCGTAAAAATACAGATCGGCACTGTAAGCGCGATTGCTTAAGAATTGGATCGAATTAAGTGGAAATAATATTTGCACAAAACAGGAACGATTGGATGTCATGTACTTGTAAAATACGATTTTGGATAGTTTCTAGATTTTCTTTCTTATTGATAATAAGAATTTTGCAATTTGTCTGGTCAGTTTTTTATTGCTTTGTTTAATAAGTTTTATAATAAAGAACGTCGATAATGTTGTTGAGTGTGAAAGTATCCAAACATCATCAAATAAGAATTTTATAATTACCTATTTTTTGATTCAAATCTGTCGATGTTTTAATTTTAGATTCAGAAATTTTATAAATATCAAAATTTCAGATTAATTAGATTAATAGTTAACCTGTTTTGTGCTGGTTTGTGTTATATATATAACGATATAATAATCGTACATAATAGAGAATCCATTACATTAGCACGTTTACTTACTTACACATGTAATAATCGATAAACTTTCGTGTTAACATTTATATGTATATAGTATATATATATATGTAAGTATCTATGTACTCGGCACAATTTACAATACTTTACAAAACCTGTCAATTAAGCCGTCTGTACACATGGCAAGTGACACGGTCTCATCTCGTGGTGATTTCAATCTCTTCGTATTGGATAATGAAACCGCTGGATCAAACATCGAAACGACATATAGAGGCATATATACATGTACAAACTATGTACAAAAATCGAGACGTAAAACGTCACGCTTGTAAACGCGAAATTAGGATTTTAATCGTACTCTCTGGCACAAGGGAACATCGATAAATAAAAAAATTCCAATCTTCATTCTTTTTGAAGGCCGTTCTAGTTCGTAATGGAATTCGGTAAATATTGGACAATCACTGGTTTTAATCTACACTGGATTCTTTTCTTTTCAGAAAGGATGTGTAACAATATCAAGCAGGAATATACTAAAACTATAGAAAATAGATTTCAAAACTAAAATGGGAAACTAGAACTAAAGGGACAGAGTTTTTAAAAAAGTAATTGTTCTGATTATAAATGCAATATTTTATAAATATGAATTTATAATTAAGAGAATAAAAATCATATGAAATAAGTGAAAAATGTTGTTTAAAATTGTTTTTTTTAATTTTAAATCATAAGCTGTGTATATCTATTTATAAATATAATATATTGAAATAAAATAGTAAGTGACATAAATGAAAATGATTTTCTACTAATACATATATATTGTTTTTGAAAAATATATAATAATACATTTATACTATTCGTAAATTTAAGGAGGAACTTATTTATGCTTAAAATAATATTAAATCCATCTTAATCAATTTTTAAAATAACAATTCAAAAAAGGAAAATTTGCTTGATATTCGATCCATCGAATTCCATCGCGTGCCAATAAAATATTATCGAAGTTCTCTTGTACAAATTCCATGCATGTACAAATAAGAGATCAAAATGAGATCAAAAGAAAATCAATCGATCAAGAAACTATTATCAAGATATTGCTTGACAATTAACGATTACCTATTATTTCTTGAGATACGAGAAACATAGAGCTTTTACAATTACATTATTCTGTTTACAGGAATCGTTGTTGTTGCATCCGCATGATTGATCGAATTCCCTGAGATTAATGTACGAAACATAATCGATGTGAAGAGAGAAACGTAAGATTCATCGTATTCGGCTACCCTCAGCTGCATGTTCAGAGATATTTGCAGATTCGGTGACAACTTCGTTGTGCAAACTTCTGAGCAAGGAGAATCCGCTCGTGATGAGGATGCGAGATGATCATGATGATTAGACGCGTGTTGCATGATTTCAGATAGAACAGAGATATTTCTACTTTACTCGAGTGTTTATGCCAAAATAAATAAATAAATAAATAAATAAATAAAATTGCACTACTT